TGTTTTATACATGGTTCAGATCAGTTTTTATTATATGTGACACTCTTCCTCTATGATCTGAGCGTACAACACATACATTGTCATGATGCGCCGCATCATGGGTCATTTGAGAGCATTCCTGTACCAGCTTCACTGCTTGTTCAGCTGGATCATTAACAGAATGCAGGTCTTGACAGAAATTCTATCAACAGTACAACCCTGATATAGCAAATGCAGCTCTTCGCTGTGTAAGAAGGCATCTATGGTACCTCTGCCCTGAATTAGTTATTTTGTCCCTATTCGACGAATACACTGCCAGAGAGGAGAAGCAGGAGCTTGCTACAGCACTGCTCAACATCCCACAGCCTGTACAATTTGCAACTGGCAAACCAGGACAGCCTGACTTCAACCCAGTTGCTGCTCACTTAGGCAATGTTAAACCATCACTAGTAATATTTGTAACTGAAATCTAATGGCTTTTATTTCACCTCCTGGAATCAGATCCAATTATATGGCTTCATGAGAATCCAGTTGCATGGCATACATATCCAACTTATGTTCAAACCCAGAATTTCTGTCAAGACCTGCATTCTGTTAATGATCCAGCTGAATGAGCAGTGAAGCTGGTACAGGAATGCTCTCAAATGATCCGTGACGCGGCGCATCGTGACAATGTACATGTATGTGTTGTACGCTCAGATCATAGAGGAAGAGTGTCACATATAAGAAAAGCTGATCTGAACCATGTTTAAAACATAAAATGTCAAGAATGAATATACCTTTTACAGTTAAAACCATTATAATGACAATACCAAATCATATATGAGACATGATTCTCTAAAACTGTACTTGTTCAAATAATTATACTGGTCGAATGTACCTGATATTTTGTTAATAGGATATTGTAAGTATAACCTTTTATATAAGTTCACATGATAAAACAGAGTAATTTGATGATTTAAACATCTAATCATATCATATACAATGTTGGTTTTCTTCAAACAACATAAATAAATCACTAGAACAAAAAGCTTCTACAAAGTATGATTTCGGGCGACGCCCACTAATGTTAAGCCTATGGGCAAACTTCAAAGACTGTGGGGGACCCCTAAAAGTTGACTAAAAAATTTGAAAAAAATCACAGGTGATATTTACCCCAAAATGCAACTCGATTCACGTAGGGAGCATAACATTTCCAAAAAAAAATTATTTTGAGCCACCCTAGTCTGGATTACATCAGAGATTATTATGAATGTACTACGTCATGGATTGTATTCTGCATTGTGGATTACATGCACGTAGTACATCCTGAGTTATATAGTGCATCATGGATGATATACTTCAAGCTATGAATTATGACTGACTACCTCATCCTCCAACATATAGATTAGGGAGAATGACATTAGTCCCTGTAATGAACTGTAGAGCTAAGCTTGAAGTTTGCAAAATTTCAAACTTGCACTGCTATATGGTATCTGTAGTTATAAAAAGAGGATCTACTGCTATTGATGCATCATGTTGTTACTTTGTGAAATAATTGACTTGTAGTTTTGTTATGTCACCACCAAAAAGTGGTGACATATTCTGTTTTTTGACGGCGGTTGGTGGTTGGCAATCAGCATCTGTAACAAATTCTTACAACTTCCAATAACTTAACAAATACTGTTAAGAACGACTTCAATTTTTTTCAAAATCATCTACAAGTTTTCAGAAGTTCTGACTTTCAAAAAAAGGTCAAAAGGTATTTTTTCAACTTGCTCCAAATTGACCAATTTATTTTTTCAAATTTCATCTACAACTTCTCAGAAATTCAAATCTGACTTAAGATGGAACTTATAATATTGTAACTAGGTGGGTGACATGTTGTCAATTCAATTTCTTATGTCATTATTTTGTGAAATAATTGACTCTTACTTTTCTTGGCATACTTGTTAGGGGAAAACAAAAAATTTCAATATTGTCATTGATATCATGCTTAGACTGGTTTAATCTTTAATGTCTAATTATTATGTACATGAAACCATGTCGTTTAAATATTTAATGTTTTATGTCATTATTTTGTGAAATAATTGACTTGTAGTTTTGTTGGCGTCTTGCTAAGGGTAGAGGAAAACGCAAATTCAATAATGTAAATTTCAATCATGCCCAGACTGGTTTAATCTTTAATGTCAAATATATTATGTACATGAAACCATGTCGTTTAAATATTTAATGTTTTATGTCATTATTTTGTGAAATAATTGACTTGTAGTTTTGTTGGCGTCTTGCTAAGGGTAGGGGAAAACGCAAATTCAATAATGTAAATTTCAATCATGCCCAGACTGGTTTAATCTTTAATGTCAAATATATTATGTACATGAAACCATGTCGTTTAAATATTTAATGTTTTATGTCATTATTTTGTGAAATAATTGACTTGTAGTTTTGTTGGCGTCTTGCTAAGGGTAGGGGAAAATGCAGTTTTATTATTGTCATTGAAATCATGCTTAGAATGTTTCGATCTTCAATATATCTAATATTATGTGTACATGAAACTATGCTGTTCAGTCATTCAATGTTTATTTCATTATTTTGTATTTATAATTGACTTGTAGATTTGTGGGCATCTTATACATCTTAAACAAAAATTCAAAAATATTAATGTTAATTATTCTCAGACTGGTTTAATTGTTAACATCTAATTATTATGTACATGAAACTATGTTTTATTTCATTATTTTTTTATCATTTAAAAATACATGTGGAATGTTGAAAACAAGTTGTCCTAATAAAGTTCATTTATACACACAAAAAGATTTTGAGTCAATTGTTCTTAGGAAAGAGTAATGGTTTCGGCCAACAAACCACTGCATGCCAAATTTTTGTGAATCCTTCCTTCCCTGTGAATTTCATTTTACATCTTTCATCTTGCTTAAAGTGCACTTGATCAATTTTTAACATACAGGGTGTCCCAAAATATTTGCACTCTGTTTATGTTCTGTTATTTTTTCCAATATTTATTATATTTTGTCCATTCTCCATACTTAATACATGATGAACAATTGACTAGATGTAAGTAGAAATACTTTGATTTAGGTCATTAAATATTCATAATTCAGTCAAAGTGATGTCTGAAATCTACATGTAAAAGTACATCTATAAATATGGTTTTGAAAATTGCTTATCAACTTTGAAAATTTAATCTATGGGAAAAATGTGATTTCTTGTTCGAGGAGATTCCCCATATAGGCCCCATGATTATATATAACCACAAAAAGTGAAATATCTTTTCTTGTAATGGACGGATAATATTTTCTTTTATTAGACATATTTTAATTGGCATAACTATTAGATACATGTACATGTACATAAGGGTGATATGAAAATTGAACCACTAAAACTGATAATATTTACATTAAAGGGAACTTTGTTCTGTACCGCCATCTGACCCGAATGAGCCACTTGATGGTGAAACTATACTAGTAACTTCCCACTCGCATCTGAGTTATTAAAGTTTTCTGTATTGTGATTACATCAACTGTTTCATATCATATGTATAACTTTGCCCAAGTTGCTTTCATTTAGAATGTAATTGATTCTAATTAAAGAATATCAGGAAGGTACATGTACTTCGATGAAAAACTTTGAAGCTATAGTTTAAGAGGTGCCATTTCAACCAGGGACATGGCCAGGTTCAAGAATTACATGTAGGTACAGGTGAGGCAACGGGCAAGGCAAACTGGGCTTGTTTGAAATAACACCTGGATATATAAATATAAATAATAATGAGACATGTCCTTGCTAGTCTTACAAGGCCATCTGTATCCAGGATTGTGTTCTACATTGGTTGTTATTTTAGTTGCTGTTTCTTCTGTGAGCAGTCTAACCTAAGTCTCATATGTCTCATAACCTCTGATTTTTCAATTTCAATCTTACAGATGTTTTTTTTATATTTGAAGTGAGTAATAGATGTGGCATTGTCAACAGTGTCCATGATTTTGTGAACTCTATAACATACATGTAGTATCTAATAACATAATATAATAGCAAAGACTTTATTCACCTCTGGCCTCACCTACTATATAGATGTTGACATAATTCAACCAGGGTAGCCCCATTGGTGTGAATCCCAATGGTCTGAATCCCATTGGTCCGAATCTCACTGGTCTGAATCCCAGTTGCCCGAATCGCAATCGCTGAATCCTAATCATCCAAATTGTCCGAATCGATCCCATTTGTCCAAATCCGAATCATCCGAGGCCAAATTCCATTGGTTCAAATCTGAATCCAATGGGATTTGGACGATTGGGATTTGGACAAATGGTGTGTAGTCATTCTAACAAAATATATGGATTTTGAACTTTGATTCATTAGACTACTCATGTCATGTGGATAATTGGTATATCCATTGGCGAAATGCAATTTGGTGCTATGGGTCTTGGCTGAGACTATCATAAAATTGGAAAGCTTGTGTTACTGTGTTAAAATGAACAATCGCAACATCAATGTGGTATTTCTATACAGAATTAGAGTGAAATATAGTACACAGTGACTGGTATAATCGAATCGGAAATGACTCTTATTCTGTATGACTACAAATTTATAAATCAGAAGTTGATATATTTTGACCGTCGATTAACCTCATAATGCGACATAATTTCGCAAGAAATACTGGTTCGTGACTTTTGTGGATAATATTTCGGTATTTTTAGCAAATTTGTTAAGCATATCGTCGTTAACATTATGTATCTGGACCATACACGACCACTCGTAAACCCAAGTGGCGGCCATTTTATTTTTTCTCGTCGAAGCCCTCTCCTTTAACTCTTTTTTTATGCTATACGATGTCAGACTCGTATTAATTTATCAACCAACGAAAAATTTACAAAACCATTTAAGTTACTGTAAAGTTTCAAAGAGTTTCCTTCACTAAAACATCGTTAATTACGAGTCTAAAAATCCAGGTGCCCTAGGGGACACCTAGGTGTCCCCAGGTGGGGGCACCTAGGTGCGGGACACCTAGGTGGTATTTAGTATTACCCAGAAAATATTTGAACTTTGACCCCAGGTGCACGTGACTCGGAATGAATTTAAACAAAGCAATATTTTGATTTTTTGCTTTTCCCCTCATTGAAGCTTGTTCAGAGGCCCACCGTTTCTTTTGTAGGTTGATACTTTAGAAAAATATGTCGTACAATGATGGAGGTAGTAGCAGTAGTAATGGAAGTGGCAATGAACCCATTTTTATGCTGACAACTGAACAGGTAATGGTTTAGAAAATATTGTTTTTAATTTCAGTTTCACTTTCACTTTGCTAAAACTTATAGAACATATTTGATTCACAAGGTTTCGATTTCTTCTTCTTCTTCCTTTAGGCCTTTGTGTCTAAGGCCATTGGCACTGTTATGCTGCCTTTGAACACTTGCTACAGTATATCACTTGTGTTTCATTTCTCACTTGTAATTATCACTTATACTTTGTACTTGTGGTTTGGAGAGAGAGCGCTTAATTTTGATGTATATACCTGTATATACCTGTATACCATTTCTTCTGGAAGAAGGAAGAATCCTATATTATCCAGATCTTGTTATATGTAAGGTCTTACTAAGTGGGAAAAAGGTGGGGTGGGGGTTGTTTTCTTGAAAGCTCACTGGACATGGGTTAAAGGGGCTGTCATCTAGTTGTAGTGGTACTTTAGGTTATGGAAGTGTTTGTCAATTTGCGCCTTGAACTGGTTGACATTGTCAGCATCTATTGCAGTCTGTGGGAGATTGTTCCAGTCTTTCACAATTCTGTTTCCGAAAACATTCTTCCTGACATTCAGTCTACTGTATCTTGTATTGAGCTTCTCAGTGTTTCCTCTGGTTCTATGAGCTTCAGATTTTTCAGCAATGTCAGTGATATTAATCCTGTCAAGACCTTTTATGATTTTGTAGGTTTGGATGAGATCCCCTCGTCTCCTTCTGTACAGGAGTGATGGTAGTTTCAGGTATCTTAGCCTATCCCCATAATTCATGTCCTTAATTTCTGGTACAAGTTTTGTCGCTCGTCTTTGGACCTTTTCTAGCTTGTCAATATCCATGTTGTGGTGAGGATTCCATACGCTGTTTGCGTATTCCAAGTGGGGTCTTACAAGTGATTTGTAGAGAAGAGGGAGGATTGTTTTGTCCAGATGGGAGAAAGTTCTTTTTATTATTCCAAGGATGCTATTGGCTTTAGAGACTGATAGGTCAACGTGTTGGTGGAACTTGAGATTATTGTCGATATTGACTCCAAGGTCCTTTTCAGTTTTGGTGATATCCAAGATCTGGTCATTCATGGTATATTTATGTTGATCATTTCCATGTCCAAGGTGCATTACTTTGCATTTAGCGGCATTAAAAGGCAACTGCCATTTATTTGACCACTTAGACATATTGTCCAGATCCTTTTGTAGTGTTCTTTTGTCTTCTTCGGTTTTAACTTTGCCGTAAAGTTTTGCATCGTCAGCGTACATGAGTATCTCGTTCTTTGTTGCTTCAGGTAAATCGTTGATGAAGGCAGCAAACAGGGTCGGCCCGAGGCAAGTTCCCTGAGGTATACCAGAGGTTACAGGGGCCCACTCTGATACTTTACCATTTACCGAAACTCTCTGTGCCCTGTTTGTTAGAAAAGACCTCGTCCAGGCTAGTAATTTTCCTGTTATTCCGTAGGATTGTAGTTTTACCAGTAGTCGCTCGTGAGGCACACTATCGAACGCTTTACTAAAATCAGTATATATGGTGTCTATAGGGGTCCCTTCATCAATATCTTGAGTTATATTTTCTAAATAGACTAAGAGATTTAGCACTGTCGATCTCTTTGGCACAAAACCAAACTGTTCATCTGTGAGGATATTATTTTTGATGAGGTGTTCCAGAATTTCATCCCTTACAATTTTCTCCAACATTTTGACAACTATTGATGTGAGGCTTATTGGTCTGTAGTTGCTGGGTTGTTTCTTCCTGTTGGTAACATTCTTTAAAGTTTTTTCACTTCCTTTTTTGAAAATGGGGGTGATGTTTGCAGTTTTCCAGTCTCTGGGGAGTGAGCTAGTTTGTATAGACTTGTTAAATAAGATAAGAAGTGGGATTACCAGTGATTCTGCTGTCTCCTTAAGGGGACGGGGATGAAAACCATCTGGTCCTGGTGATTTTGTAGCAATCAGTTTGTTTAACTGGCTCATAACCATTTCCTTTGTTATTTTAAGGTCACTAATCTTTTCTTTACTTGGGTGTGGTGGCAATTGTGGTATATTGTACATGTCTTCATTGGTAAATACACTTGAGAATTGGTTATTTAGTGTCTGTGCCTTTTCCAGGTCTGTTTGGGTTTCTGCTCCATCTTCCATCACTAAGTTAGGGATTGTTTCTTGGGTATCTAGTTTGGATTTAGAGTACTGCCAGAATTGTTTAGGGTTCTCTTTAACTTCTAAGGCAATTTTCTTTTCATAGTCGTAGCTCAATTTCCGTGTGTAGGCCCTGAGGTTGTCCCTTGCTTCATGGTATTGTTTTAGGTTTGTGTCTGTCTTAGCTGCTTTGTAGTTTTTCCAATATCTATATTTCTTTTTACTCATTTTTATTGCAGTCTTATTAATGTATTTGCTTCTTCGCTTGTCTTTCCTGGGGTACATTTTCGGTATGCATTGATCGATGGCATTTTCGTACACTGTTTTGAAATAGGTCCAACTCTCTTCCATAGATTTACTGTTGAGTTGTTCTTCCCATTTGGTTTCATTTATTAATTTGTTCATTTCCTGGTAGTTTCCTTTATCATAGGCTAGTTTTGCTTTTGATTTTTTATTGCTACCCTTTTGGTTTTTGTAGTTAGTTTTGATTAGCAAACACTAGAGGTGTCAAGTATTAACCGGTTAACCGGTTAACCGCCGATAATGCCTTGACCGGTCTGAGTTTTTATGGGCGGTTAGTTGACCGTGTATAATTCTGTTATTTCCCGCACTTATTTTGCATGCTAATCCGTTTGGTTTTATGGTGTCAGTTTCACGTAAGCTACTCATACATGTCATAAGTCCCATAACTCCTTACAAACATCCAATCAGCAACTTTAATCCCTGCCACATTGCTTTCCCGTGCTTACTTTGCATTTTAATCTGTTTGTTTTCAAGCGTCAGTTTCATGTGAGCTACTCATACATGTGATAGGTCCGATAATTCCTTACAAACATCCAATCAGCAACTTTAATCCCGCGCTTACTTACATAGAATAGCGTAAAGCTTGACGAACGTAAAAAATAAACGCCGATATATCATTTTTTCCAATTTTTTTCAACTTTCAAGATCGAAGATGAAGATTTCATTTGAAATTATAAGTTCAAATTTCCCGCCGGTTAACCGACTTTAACCGGTAAAAACCCCCGGTTAACCGGTTAATGCTCAAGCGGTTAATTGACACCACTAGCAAACACTCATGGTCACTCAGTCCTAATGCTGGTAGGTGTTCAAAGAATTCAACTGTATTTTCATGTTTTGTTAAAATCAAATCACATATGCTAGGTGTGGTGGTCCCTCTGGATCTAGTTGGGCTTGTTACATGCTGTATCAGGAAGTTGTCGTTTATACAGTCTATGAACTTGTGTGCTGGGTGATTTTTACTATCTGAGGAGGTTATTGTTTCCCAGTTGATATTGGGGTAATTAAAGTCTCCAACTATAATCAGGTTACTCCATGTTTTGCATACTTTATTAATTTGGTTATTCAGGTCTTCATTATTTTCTTCAGTCGCGTTTGGAGATCTATATATCGCTCCGACTAGAAGACTATCTTTATTAGATTTCACATTTTTGTTTATCTCGAACCATATGCTTTCACTATGTACATTGATATCAATAATATTTACATTATTTACAAGGTAAGTCTTTAGGTACACAACAATCCCTCTAATCTTGTCAGTTTTCTCAGCTTTCCCAAAATTAGATGTATTAGGAGTTGAAAGCTTAATAAAAATGTAGATGAGTTAGCTTACTTCAGCTAACCTGAGAAAGAGTCACTATCTCCTACTATATACAAAGTTCTTTAATTTAGAATCTCCTTGTCGAGGCTATATAAGCCTGGAATTTCTGGAGGATCTTAGTGTTTATATTGTCGTCAATTTCACTATCTAGGCCAGTTAGAGTCCTGATGGTGATATATGGGTTATGATTTACTCCCAGAAGTAGAAAGTTGACATCTGCCATCAATTGTTCCCTCTGTGTCTCAAATCTGGAACAGTCAAAAACATAATGTTTTATAGTCTCAGGGATTTTGCAGTGAGGACAGTTCGGAGATTCAACATTGGGATTGATCTTACTATGATGGCTATTGAGCTTTGTATGACCAGATATGATCTGATTTATAACATTTTCGATACTGTTTAAATTATTAATAAACCCCAGCTGAGTTCACTCTCAATATTGCTCCTCCTGGCAGTTGCCCACTAGCAAAGTTTTGTGAGACGCGACGCCACAAAACCAATCTGCCAATCAATTGACCTTTTATGCCACAGGGTCTCTAGACCCAGTGGAAAGCGACAATGATACTTGGATGTGTTACAGGTACAGAAAGTAGGTTTGAAAAAACTTTCATCGGTGGGCAGATATAGCTTTATGTCCCGGCCTGAGCCATGTCATAATCGCCATTCGCATGTTGGTGCATTTTTCTGGACTCCGGCCAATTGAACTATGTGAACCAAGATTGGTATGGGATTTATCGCATCCTACGACCCCTTTAGATTGTGGTCGTAGGCCCGTTTCATTCGTAAGCCTGTCTTTCTACAATGTCGGAGAATGAACTACGCATTGCGCTATTAAATGACCTACCTCTATACATTCCAGAGTATTTTAAAATTCTTTTTATGTTGTTAGATCGCCAATTGTATGGGTTTATCGTCAGAACGAAGAGATTTTAGTTTTTACATCGGAAATATCTCAGCAATTTTCAAAATGTCGGAAGGGGAATTCCCCAGGGATTTCCCTTATGACTGATGCATGCCGGGAACTGAATGGAGGAATTTGACGGTTGAACCTACACGCAAATATTGCTATCAAAAACGAAAATATCTTCGTTCTGCCGATAAACCCATACAATTTGCGATTCAACTTTATGAAAAGAATTCTAAAATACTCGGGAATGTATCGAGGTAGGTCATTTATGTGTGCAATGCATAGTTCATTCTCCGACATTGTAGAAACACAGGCTTACTAATGAATCGGGCCTACGACCACAATCTAAAGGGGTCGTAGGATGCGATAAGTATGGGATAATTAGATCATCCTATAGTCGGTTCAGGACATTGGGATTAGGCCTTGGCCAATAATATATCTACCCTTAGGACCTACGCCCCTTTGGCAGATATACAGTTATTACATTTGCCTCAGGATAATCCCAATATCCTGAACCTCATATAGGATAATATGTATTCCCATGGGCTTTCTAGTTGAAAGCTCATGGTATTCCATACCTACTGAGGTTCTAGGTACAGTATATAACTAGTGGGAATAAATAGTGCCAAGGTCTTAGACCGGAGACCTGGATTGATACAGGTTGTATCCATCATACATTCCCGCTCCTGAAAAGCGTACCCAATTTACATTTTACTTCTTTTGTCGAATAAAAATTATGTTTCAAAATTGATTTTAATATCAGTTCAATGATCTGCTTCAGCATGGGCTTTCAATAGACTGAATGCCCATGGCTTCAGATATGAGTGAAAATCTCAAAAACTAAAAGAAAACTTTTTAAGACAAAAAATGAACTTTATGAGGTATATTGTATCATATTTTCATTCCAAATTTCAGAAAATTTAAGACTATAAGATACTGCCCTGTCAACCCTCACGCATTAGGCGTGATTGTCACGCATTTGCTGGAAAAATAGAAATCACGCATCAATTTAGCGTGTATGATCAAATATCACGCAAATCACTCATTTTTTGGTATTTTTAAAAACCGTTTTTTGTGAAATGTCGACATGGTAAAATACTGAACGGCGAACGCATTCTGTGTATATATTACGCATTTGTTTTTCGAAAATATTTACACCTACCCCCCCCACCCCTCGTTGTCGGAAAAAATTTTAGGTGTCCAAAATCTAACAGTGTTCACTGAAGCTGTCCAAAGTTTGAAGGAAGGTGTCCAACATTTTGAAGTCACTCATATGTTAGATGGTCCCAAGTTGACAGCCCTGAAGATAGTCTAATAATATATGAGAACCTCTAATTGAAAGCCCATGGGTACACATAAATCATCCCATATAGTATTATATGGTACATTTTTAAGTTTTGCTCAAAGGGATTTAACTATACCTGGAATATTAGGTTAAACTTTCATAAATATCCTAGAAATACAACAATGGTTAAAATTCAGTGACCTACATTATTTGCATGTTTAAATTTAGCAGGTTACTGAATTTTCTTCTTTTTCAAACATTGACATTTCTGAATTCTGAACATGCAAATATACAGGGTGTCAAAAAAAATGGCACACCCTCAACAGCAAAAATACTTGATGGTCCATAGTGTGTCATTTCTCATTTTCAAGACAATTCAATTCTGGAGTTACCTGAGAATTTCAGTTTTGAATCATATGATTTTACATGTCTCTTAATTCAGTCTTAAATATTTTTCAGTTGACTACACTAAGCTACATAGATATTGCTACAGCATCTTTGAGGTGAGTTACTAACTTGTCCGAAATCCTTAAAGGGAGAAATAATCTCCCATCATACCAAGAACTCATCCAGGGCTCTGACCAGGAAATATTTAGGGTGTGGTGCAAACATCTTCAGCATTACCGTTCAGTCGTGATACATCATATTTATGTTATATTTTATCCTTTTTACATGCTATTATTGTATATTCAGTCAAGTTTAGACTGTGGTAACAATCATGATTTGCCAGTAGGGTGTGGTGGGAGCTAAATAGAGTGTGGTGCTGCGCCACAGTCTAAAAGCCTGGCGAGAGCTCTGCTATCTTCGTATATATGGAATATATTAAAAATGCTTCAACAGGCATGATGTATACAAGGCAGCTGCCTCACCAACATTTTACAGAGAAGTGTTTTCAATTGAAACTGAGATAATGGAGTTTCATGATAGTATTTGTTCCCTTTAACTCAAATATGAAATGTCAACTGCCACTTGATAATCCTAGCTCCTCTGACAGGGTCGGTGTACATACAACTATTACGATTATGGGATTACATTTTACTTTTTTGAAAAACTATGAAATTAAAGTAAAATCTTTTGTGACAAAACAAACTATGTTTTCAGACAAAATTAGATGCACAATTCATTATTAATAAGTATTTTATGAGAACCTAAATATCATCAATTATCAGTTATCATTTATTGTAGTGTACTTGGAGCTGGCTCCATCCTTGCATCAGTTTGCTGGACAAGAACATGTTGTTTACCTGAGGTATGAGGTTTTTGCTATATTATATTGAGTTAGAGATTTAATTTGAATAATATACAGGGATTACAGGTAGATGTAGTTATATTCTTTATATCTTTATATTATCATGTCTATTGAGAAAAAAATGAATGAATATCTCTTATTCTGTCTCGCAATATATTTAGAGTTCATTCACATTGGATAAATAGTTTACGTCAGGGTCAATTTAGAATATAGGAAACATTTTTCGGCAAATGAAATATCCCCTTTTCTTAGTGTTTGAGATATATTTCCATTAGGATATTTCATATATTCCAAACCTCCCATAGTGTAACATCTATATATTCTACTTTCAGGTTACTCCTATATTCCACCTGTCATTGGCTGATTTACTGGCCTCTCTCTGCCTTCTCGTTGGTGCAGCACTTTACGCTACTAATTACCATGGTTTCTACATGTTCTGTCATTATTTAACAGGATTTACAAGTGTAAGTAGAGTATTACACTTAAATTACACCGTGGGCTATTTTGGCCATCTGAATTCATGCTTTTAAAACCTTGCTGTTGATTATTGGTGGCTCACATCAAACGAATTTGCATTTTACCTTTTGATTAGCTGAGTGTCATGAAGTAATTTTAGCTTGAATAAACATAACGAGATGTGAATTGATTCAAACAATACAACTCAATACAAATTTCATGACACTTAAGATAATTCCCGTTATGTCAGTATAAAAACAACTGTAAAGTTCCTCTCAACATTAACATTTTCATTTGATTTAGCTAATTCAGAAAAATCGGAGAAATCAGAATCTAAATAGTATTAATTCTAACAAAATCTAAATGCTGTTTTAATGCTTATTTGTTGCGGGTAATATTATGCACAATTTACCCAGGAATGTTAAATGCTTTGACTGAAAGGTTTAGTAAATCTTTTCCAGGCTTTTTATATATGTACATTTTTGTTGACTCTAACCTATGGTGTAGAAGTATACATACGCATGAGGGACAGGCTGATCCGTAAGGAGAAAACATGCAGGGTAAATATAATTTGAATATTTTACTAACGATGATGCGTGACATGAGAAAAACATAATCCAGACCAAAACACTGACCAAAGTGCTGATTCAGTGCTCATCTCATACTGATATTTTTACTCAATTATTTTTTACCCATAAACCGCATATTTCTCTGTATATTCATTGTAATGTTCCACAGTGACATTTTATTTACAGTTAATCCTGTCAAGTCTGAATGCCTCTGTGACCATCCAAAAGTGTTTGGATTAGTAGGTGTTCACATTATAACAAAGTTGTGACAGGGAAAAAGTGTTCACATTGAGAAGTGTTCAGATTAGAGAGGTGTTCAGATATGCAAGTTTCACTGTACAGGGTGATCAATAAATAAGGTAAAAGTATCTGGCATTTCTTCAGATTAGTTTTACCTTATTTAATGATCACCCTGTATATGTACTAAGCATGGATGCACTTATTTTATGAAGTCCAAGCTATAGCTTTACATGAGAATATCACAATCTTATTGCATTGCAGGTTGGAAAATGCCAGTTAGTCTATGTCTTTTATATTGTTGCATGGTAAGTAGTGACCTATTTTACAGTATTGCACATGTATGTCTGAAAATTTTAAAAAGAATGTGAAATAATATATCATTCAGATTGTAAAAATGTATTTGTCAGTCATTTTTTCCTCTACCTGTATTTTGATAAACCTGCAATTTTTATTTTATAATCAATTTTTGAACATTTTACTCTTTAGGGGATTACCACTGTTGGTAGCAGGGACTCTCAGCCTCATAACTCAGTACAAAAAATCAGATCTGCTTCCTGTCATACCTAAAAATTATGACTGCTCCTCGTAAGTACAACTCTTACTTACCACAAACATGTAAAATGTTGTTTAATATTATACATTTTCGTAAACATTTTTTTAGGATGGTGAATTTATTCTTGATAATTGAATTCAGGACAGTGAATAATTACTGCATACTTTTTGCCCAGGAACTTTAGAGATCATGTTTTAAGTGTATGTATATGTTCTAGAGTAATTTAGTTCCAGCCGTTATCAATATTATTCAAATCATAAAATATCACATCAATGCTTTCAATGAGTTTGATAGCCCAAGTGTTAATTGATGGGTGAAATTAGAGTATATTAGAATGAAGTCAGTTGTCTTCAGTTCTTTGTAAATGTCCATGGCTGTTAAACTGAAAGCTCTCTCAGTGTAAGAGTACCAATTTGCACCAAAATAGGATTACAAGATTCTCATTTGAGGGTACAATTAAGAAAATATTTTCAGAATTTACATCCATAGTAATATCACTAAAACAGATGGTCCTATTTGGGAGAATTTCCAATGTTAATGATAAACTTTTGCATTTTCCAGATGCTTGCCTCTGTTCCATTATAATGACAATGTGTGCTGGGTATGTAATATTGTATTAAAAAGTATATGTACTGCATATTATTAGCTCATTTATAATGTAATATAAGGTCTTGCACATTGTATTATTGTAGCAAAAGTTAATTATCTTGGACTGATTCAAAGATAGAGAGGTACCAGATTTCCTTTACAAACCTGGGGTTTAAAGTCTCTCCCATATCTTTACATTTTAAGGCAAAGGACTTGTGGGCATTTATTTGAAAAGTAACATAAAAAACAAATAAAATGTGACCTAAATTGGATATTTTTGGTCCATTCTTCACCATCATAAGCCTCATATAAATGTTGTGCCATAATGATTTTTTGAAATGAAATAACTGAAGAATCAACAATTTTCCTCAAAATAAAGGCCCATTCAGCGCACTATTTTGAAGTACTTTGCATAAATGACCCATGAGCTATATATTTGAGAAAATTAGAAATATAGCGAGAATATTGTCTCACTGAACTAATTAAGAATTATTCATTTCATGAATGCATTTTAAATGTTTAAACACCTTTTCCATTTCAGACTGAAAACAACAAAACTTATCACATAGCAGCTAAATATTTATTCCTTGGTCCCATGATTTTCATCATTATAACCAATGCTGTAAGTGTAATTTTTGATATTTACTAAGTCAATATGACTCTTCTACTGACTTATCCTTTGATTCAAAAGTGAAAAAAGTAGTTGAACTATTTTAGTACAACAACACCATAAAAAAGTTAATGACATTTGCCCTGTTTCTATATATTTCTGTTTATTTTACAACCTTGATTGTTATAAAAATTAATAATGTCAGTTGTGATTTTATTTTCCAGATTGTTTATTACCTTGCCTTTCGGGCATTCCAAGGATCACTGTTAAATCAAGGTAATTGAAGAACAGTACAATGTACATACAGGGTGATCCAAAAGTTTTTAGAATGGAAACCTTATAAGCCATCCTGTGTGATGTTGCTGTCTTTTGTTAGTTTTCACTAAAATTGTAGATGCAAATGAAGTCAAAATAGAATCCTTGTAACTTAGAGTGACTATGTATTACCCAGATTGATTCGATAACCAATAAATACCATTCAATGTCCATTCAAAGAAAGTAAGCAATGTTTTGGATTCTAGATGTATATAAAGTGTATTATTTTTGTAAATAAGTATGAAAGTTTTGAGACAACCCCATATATGTACAGAACAAACTAGGACTCGGGTACTATTGAAATAGCATATTTAATATTAAGACTTTTGGCTAACTCAATAATATCATCTTGTATATATTCATAATGTACTAGATTCTCTTCTCGAATAAAATGTCAGAGTCAAAACTGATACATTTATGAAAGGACATGTTTATTTATTGTTTTCAGGTCTCCTTGGATACACACAGAGGCAAGAACAATATGCAGTGAGAAATAAATCTATTCTCTACCAGCTTGCATTCTTCTTTTGCTGGTTACCATGTAAGACATTTTCTTTTGTAGAAATTAAAAATTATCAATGCTGATTATTAGTAACAGATCGAAATACTTAAGTGTTTAATTTTGTTCATCATCATCAATTTTCACTTTATAATATTGCTTCCTGTTCCCAAGAATATTGACTGACTAAATACTTTTCTGAAAACATCATTTTCATTTTTATTTTTACGAGTAGTCTCCAACTTTTTTGTTCGATGGTTGGTGTTTGATGGTTGACCTTGTTTTATGGCATTAATTTCTGTTCCAGCTCTTATCCTGGGTTGTGTAGCACTCTACTCAAAGTTTGATCCAAAGTGTGTTTACTGGCTCTATATAGTACAGGTGAGGTATAAAGGGTGATTTTACACATAGAGATACTGCAATACAAAGGTGGCCAGTTGGGACTAACTCGAGAGAGATTGGGGTTCACATTATTCAATATTACATAAAGGCTGTCACTTGAACTACTTTAAAACGGCATTATACAATTCCTAAACTCACTTGTTTGTGGCATCACTATTTGGTAAGTGGTTTACACTTTCAGATAGACCAAGTCTTTCTATAGGGATTTTTGGGGTGTTAATCATTCCATCAAACAATGGCAACCATTTTGCAAAATAACTGCCTTTTTACCTGAGGTATTAAGTGTTTCATCAAAATGTGCCTGTCATTTGACGAGATGTTTCATAGGATTTGCTTCACCCAAGCACTGTCACTGCTTATTTTGTATTTGCTTTCTGATTTTAGGCATGTACATCCCCACTACAGGGTTTCCTTAATTCTGTCATCTATGGGTGGAAACGAGATGGCTTCACAAGAGTGATCACAGAGAATACTGCCCTACTAGGGGGCAGCACTAATAGACAAAACAATGACAATATAACTAGTAGTCTTTGATAAACCTGGATTATTCCTAGATTTCGATGAAAGCTACTTTTTAATAACCTGAACTTTATCTATCAGTTTATGATGAAACATTGACCTGTTCAAATAACTGTCTTTCATATGGTCATTTATAAAACCTGGACTATTCTACTCATACTTGCCGACACCCATACTAGTTTTGCTAAAGCCTGGAATATTGAACCAGCCTTTGTTTAAATATGGACTGTGATACTACTGTCCTTGAATGAAACCCAGTCTATTATACCAGACTTTGATTAAGGTAAAATATGAACCCACATTGATGAATGGATAGTATTAGCATAACATGATACTACATCATGGTGTATAGTGCATTATTGATATTAACCCTTTTTGCATTACTTTCAACCAACACAGAAACATAAAATAACAAGACATTCCTGAGTCTCAACTGTGCAGTATTAAAAAGACAGGTTGTCGAGTTAACCTGGCAATGAAATATTGGAATATGTTACATAACAAGAAAGTCGGCATTATGAGCCATTAGAAAGTGGAAAATATTGCCATTATTTACGATAAAAATAACTACCAAGAATTGCATAACAATCAGATTAAGAATATAGCAAGGGTATTCTTGGTGATAAAGTAAAGAAATAGTGATCAATACTATACTGTACTGTACTCCTTTGTATTAGGCTGTGCTGTTCATCTTTACTGTACTATACTGTACTGTACATATTAAAGTACTGTAATGTACTGCATACTGTACGCCCGGTTAACTTCACGAGTTTTAATTCCACAAATTCATTGAAAACACAATTTCGCAGCTAATTTTAATTAAATTTCGCGAATTTCACAAGTTTAAAATTCATTATTCTCGGAATTCATGAACTATGTAAACTAAGTTAGATGTACAGTAATTGCACTTACCTGATGTCATATTTAGATGAGATTTACAATTACTAGGATCTTTGTCATCAGCAAGCTGCATATAAACCTCTATTGCATCGTCATTTTTTTGGTATTAAAGCCAAGGAATTGTACACTATAATAGGGGAAATCTGCGTGAGGTTCGATTTTGAGGTTCGGTCTTTGAACATTAAATCAACCAATTTAATTGGTTAAAAATAACACTAGACAAAACGTTTTACACAAAACGAAACGCTTCACAGTCCCGGTTATTCCCGGGGATTTACACTGCAATTTCGCAATGATAAATTTTTGCGATATAACAACACTCACGAAAAGCGCGAAACTAAATCGCACAAGAAAAATACCGGGCGTACAGTATTTGTGTCTTAAATTATAAGTCATACACATGCTGTACTGTGTAGCTTTTATTTAATATTTATGTATATCTTTTACTTGACTTGTACTGTCAAGTTAAATTGCAGTTTATAGGTAACGTTGGAAGGTTTTATGTATTTACTGACATGTGGGCATTGGTTTTCTGGATTTATATTTACATGTATTTAATTTTACTTTATACACATTCCTTTTATAGCTTTGTAAATGTGTACATAATTTTTGTTTTTTATATCCAAGAAAAAGAGATTACATAAAATGTATATAGAATTGGCTGATTGGAAAAATAACTTTTATTAAGTTATTAGCTCACATGGTGAGCTTTTGCAATCACTCACTTGTCCGTCTGTCCGTCCGTCCGTCCGTCCGTCCGTCAACAATAGTGGCACGTTTTAAAACCTCCGTCGATAGCATTCCTGTTTTAAGTTATTTCTGTTCAACACCAATACAGAAAACTCCCCTATGACTCCTGGTTCAAAAGCTCGCCTATTTTCAAAATGGCCGCCACTTTTGTCTCGCGAAATTCACTTTTGACCCATTTGTTTTAAAACCTCTGTCGATAGGATTCCCGTTTTAAGTTATTTCTGTTCAACATCAATACAGAAAATTCCCCTATGACTCCTGGTTCAAAAGCTCGCCTATTTTCAAAATGGCCGTCACTTTTGTCTCGCGAAATTCACTTTTGACCCATTTCCTAGCTTTACAAATAATTTCAGGTGTCCTTCACTGTAAAAATCCATGTCAATGTAAAGGGTAGATATATGTTATAATATTGTTACAAAAAATCAGTGAAAATTTATATCCATTTTTTTATTTTCAGCCATTTTAGTTAACATTGATTTGTCTATCTGACTCGCAAAATCCACTTTCCGTCAATAACAGTGGCACGTTTTAAAACCTCTGTCGATAGGATTCCTGTTTTAAGTTATTTCTGTTCAACATCAATACAGAAAACTCCCCTATGACTCCTGGTTCAAAAGCTCGCCTATTTTCAAAATGGCCGCCATTTTTGTCTCGCGAAATTCACTTTTGACCCATTTCCTAGCTTTACAAATAATTTCAAGTGTCCTACATTGTAAAAATCCATGTCAATGTAAAGAGTAGATGTATGAAATAATTTTGTTACGAAAAATCAGTGAAAAATTATATCCATTTTTTTATTTTCAGCTATTTTAGTTAACATTGATTTGTTCATCTGTCTCGCAAAATCCACTTTTGGACCATTTACCTTAAACCCTCTGTCGATAGGATTTCCTTTTTAAATTAATTTTGTTCAACATCAATACAAAAAACTCTCCTGTGACTCTTGGTTCAAAAGCTCGTCTATTTTCAAAATGGTCGCCATTCTTGTTCCGCGAAATTCACTTTTTGCCCATTTCCTAGCCTTACAAATAATTCCAGCTGTCCTGCATTGTAAAAAGCCGTGTCACTGTAAAGAGTAGTTGTATGAAATAATTTTGTTACAAAAAATCGGCAAAATATTATATCTGTTTTTTTATTTTCAGCCATTTTAGTTAACATTGATTTGTCCATCTGTCTTGCGAAATCCTCTTTTGAACCATTTGCTTAAAACCTCTGTCGATAGGATTCCAGTTTCACATTATTTTTGTTCAACATCAATACAAAAAAACTCCCCTATGACTCCTGGTTCAAAAGCTTGCCTGATTTCAAAATGGTCGCCATTTTTGTCTCGCGAAATTCAATTTTGGCCTATTTCCTAGCTTTACAAATAATTTCAGGTGTCTTGCATTGCAAAAAGCCATGTCACTGTAACACAGGCTGGTATCGAAAGATTTGTCCGCTGTGACGGAGCATGCTATTTTTCATAAAAACACTAAGAATGTTTCACGATTTATTTTTTAACTCATATGTTTCGTTATATCAAAGATAATTACTTACTCCATGCAATGGATATATCATTTGCGTGTAACCTTCACTTCTGTTTGAAGTCCAATAACGCTAGGAGTAAAATCTATTGAAAACGGCGCCAGAGTATCAAACTCTAAAATGTACCATTTCTTTTTTAACTTTTTAATGGCATGATATAGTGACACGATAATATTAACATATGTTTTCAGCATAACTCTGAATGCATTAATGAGATATTAATGCATTGGGTCTTTTTATTTTTTTTTATAAAAAATAATATTAATATTTTTTGTCCGCTATGAGGGAGCATTTTCACAGTTCACATTTGCAACTGCTCCGTCACAGCGGACAAAAAAATTAAACATTATTTTTTATAAAAGAATTGAAAAGACCAAATACATCAACATCTCATTTATACCTTCATAGTTATGCTTAAACCATGTGTAAATATTATCGTGTCACTATATCGTTCCATTAGAAAGTTAAACAAGAAATGGTACATTTTGAAGTATGATACTCCGGCGCCATTTTCAATAGCTTTTCTTCCCAGCGTAATTGGACTTCAAACAGAAGTGAAAGTTACGCGCAAATGATATATCCATTGCATGGAGTAAGTAATTTTATATGGTATAACGAAACATATGAGTTAAAAAATAAATCGTGAAGTATTCTTAGTGTTTTTATGAAAAAAAGCATGCTCCGTCACAGCGGACAAATATTTCGATACCAGCCTGTGTGTAAAGAGTAGTTGTATGAAATAATTTTGTTACAAATAATTGGCAAAAAATTATATCAGTTTTTTTTCTCAGCCATTTTACTTAACATCAATTTGTCCATCTGTCTCTCAGTCAGTCCAATATAGTGGCAAGTGGCTTGAAATAATTTTGTTACAAAAAATCAGCAAAAAATTATATCCGTTTTTTTCTGTCACCATGTGAGCCCAGTACCCACAGTACTATTTTTAATTAATTGTCACTCTAAGTGAATAATGTTCAATTGATGTCTAATCCATAATATTTTATAATTTATAATTAATACAATTTGTAATATTTTTATATTAAATTGATTAATGCAGTATTGTGATCTCCCCAGGATATGTCATTTTCCTATTTTAACAGGGTGCAGCACTTAAACTCCCTATTATGTCACCACCTCAAGTGGTGACACATTGTTATTGTCTCCAACTTTTTTGTGGACAGTTTTCGGCATTTGATGTTTGTTACAAATGGCAGGTGGTGACATTTTGTATGATTATGCTTTGTTTAATATATAATTTATTAACATTACAAAAATACTACATAATTGTAAAGACTTTAGTGGCTGGCCAGTAGCATTATCAAGCCACATTGATGTAATGCGGTGGAGATCAGTGGTCGGCAGTACACAATAGGTTGAATTGCTACATAATAATGCATTTTGACAAAACAAACTTGGTAATGAAGGATTTTTGAGGCATAGCACACATAAAATCCTTGTTTTAGAAGTTTTTATCAAAATGTTTCATATGGATCAATTTAAGGTAATTCTGTAATGCTCTGAAGTTTTAATGAGTTCCTAATTGGAGTCCCATGTTATTTTCAGGAACACATACAGTTACTCATTTTATATACAGTCTACATCTTCAGTTTTGCCCACAGTACATAACCTAGATAATTATTTGAGGGTGAATACTTTTCTTGCAATGTATGGAAATTTAGAAAGTTCAGTGACCTACTTTTTACAACTTGTACAAATATGTAGTTCACTGAATTTTCTCATTTCAATGGATCAAGAATGTTTATTCATGGGCAACTAATAATTCAGGTATATTCACACACTATTTGTGCGTAACTGAAAGATGTATAGCATGTATAGAATAATAATGTGTTACTGAAAATAACATGGGGGCTCCCAATTTGAAAGCTAATTAAAATTTCATATGGAACTACCTTAACCATGATGTGTAACATGTGCCAGTGTCTTATAAGAATGAATACAGTGTATAATTATGTAAGTGGCAGTTCCTACAAAGTAGGACTGTATTAGTCTAAGAGCTTAAAGCTGTAAATATTGCGATATTGTACTTGATGTACAATTATAATATTTATAATAAATTACACCTTTATGTACCCAAAGTTGATATATCTTGTTCAGTAACTAAATGAGTGACAAATGAACTGTAGTTTGAGCATTGCTTTGTCTGTAACAAATGGCAGGTGGTGACATTTTGAATAAATCCCTTGTATTAACATAATATTAAAGAAACTCAGAGTTTTCTGACTACCAATGGCAACCAGTTTTCGTTCTTGGTGGCAACGGACTACAAAACAGTTGCCTAATGGCAATGGACTAAATGCCAATATGGTAAATTGTGGCAACCATGTTTTGAACTTTAGCTGTGAACTCTGGGCATCTTTATGCTTTTTTTTATGTGTGAGGCCATAGTTATCCATTAAAGACAAGATAAAGATTGCTTCCAAAACCGCAAATATAGGTTTAATCTCGAGATATGTTCCTGTCTTTAAAATAAAAGCAGTTCCAAGTTGATAACCTAATCACACATATAAACAATTAAACTTAAATTAGGATTTGTGTTATTTAAGAAATATGGACCAAGGAGCAGGAGTAATATTGTTAAACACACCTCGCAGGGCTAGGCACAAACGTTTTCTATACCCAGAATGACCGAAGGGAGCCGCTAGCCCTAAGGGGTGTATTCAACAATATTACACCTGCTCTGAGGTCTATATATTACGATTCGAACATGAAAACTCACCAAAATGTTTCGAATATTCATTACGGTCCGCCATTACTATGGCCTGCCATTATGAAGTCACACCCTACTCGTATTACCAGGGGTATTGTTTGTGAATATACTCCGGGTGAAATATTGACTTTGTTCAAAATTTATAGACGGCATGAATACAGTCATGTTCGAATCAAGTATATGACAAGTGTTAAGTAAAACAGAGCCTTATGAATAATCTGAAGATTTAATTGCATTAAATATTTAATTTTTATATTTCATTATTAAATATACATCTTACAAAGTATGATGTTAAAATACCCCCCTGTGGGAGTCATTATAGACACAAGTATCAACCCAGTAAAAAGAATGGCACTTTCTTTGAAAGTAAGGCAATTCAAAATTAGTGACATGCTTAACGTCCCTTTGAGGACCAGATTCTTAAGAGGGTGGGAGATGAAAAAACTTGATTTTCTTTATACTATTCAATACTATAAAACTTTCAAAAAGAGTGGGCAATCTATTTAAACGTCCTTAAAGTCTGTGTTATACTTTTCTATGTCAATACTGAAAATATGTGTCAAAAAAATTTGGCTCGGTCTTAGGAATGAGATGATGTTAAGCATATAATTACATTTGAATGGCCATATTCCAGTATTCACCATTTATAAAAAGTACATTGGTGATGACAATGAACATAGAGCTGCTACATCTGGGTGAAATTGAGCAAAGCCCCAGGAAAATATCGCTTATGACAAATATGCTTCAACTCATTTGAATGTTTTGTTGGACATGAATCTACTTCAGTACTTTGTGTTCTCTGGAGAGATCTTCAAGCAAGAGATCAGTTTGCTGGAATAAATGGCTTAACTACAAGGGTTGTCTCTCAGAAGTTACGCACTGTTTTTTCTAACTTTCTTAAATTACATTTCTACACATTGAAATTGAAGTACTATTTTCCCGAATTTTTCAGCATTCCCAAATGTTAAAGGTGAATCTTCACATGGTTGCTGCTATATCACAATGACATCATAGTGAATTGTAACTAAAATGCAAAACTTGGTTTTACTGCATACATGTACTTTGTATATGCATCTTGCATCAATGAATGAAAATGATGGATTTTTGGGCTTAATTACAATGAGCTTGGCAGGGTGTTTCTTGAGTGCATCTTCAGTTGATTCTATCCAAATATTGTATTGGAATTCCTAGTTGTAGAAGATGGGACTTATCTTGATTTTCTATATCAGCTACAGTGTGTGTGATGTTCTGCCATGATAGTTCACTAAGTTTAGGTATTTTGAGCCACACCCTGTAGATGTGAGAAGTCCTGATATCATCAATGTGAGTAACCCCTCCATATATGTACATACAGCCCGACTGGAAGTAGACACAAAATTTCAAGCTTGTTTTTACTTAAGGCCCACTATACTTAATTTAGAAGAAAAAAAGAAAAAATAATCATTGAAACATGTTACTCAAACACTCGCTAAAATATGAAACAAAGTTTGATTTGCTTTAATATTAAACCAAGACAAAAATAACTCAAACAGAAAAAAGCATTTGAAGTTCAGAGATCATTAGTAGTGCACGCACATGCTAAACTAGACCGCAGCAACACCAAAGCGTAGCAAATCCCATCGAACAGCCATGGCTGGCATATTTACAAAAAAAAGCATATAGCAAAAATGGCAGCCATTTTTCAAAATGGCCACCTTCTACCAAAAGTGTCATTAGACAGTGTGCCATGCTTATAGTATTCACATACCAAATATGAACAAAATCGCTTCACTACTTTTCGAGTTATAGAAAAATATGTTAAAATGGCGGCCATTTTGAAAAATGGCCACCTTCTACCAAAAGTGTCATTAAACAGTGTGCCATGCTTATAGTATTCACATACCAAATATGAACAAAATCACTCCACTACTTTTCGAGTTACAGCAAAAATCGTAAAATAACGAGTAAAGGCCGCCATTTTTCAAGATGGCTGCCATGTGTTTCTTTAATATCTACATTTCTAGCAATATTAATGTCCTATATAATTTTTTTACATTTAAAACATATTGCTATTACAGTTTTACATATTACACCTAAATTACTGTAAAATCGGCACTAAAATGGCCGCCATTTTTAAATGAGCGGCCATTTTGAAAATTGGCTTTCGAGCAGAACTTCTACTCCCATAGGGTATATGTGTACAAAATATGAACAAAATCGGGCCAACGGTATTTGAGTTATTGCCCGGACGGACGGACGTACGGACGTACGGACGGACGACGGACGGACGGACGGACGGACAGACGGATGGACGGAGGCGTTCCCTATATCCCTCCGAACTTCGTTCGATGGGATAACAAAGTGCATGTTTTAAATTACTTTTGATTTAAAAGTTGGCGGCACTTCTATAAAAATGAATGTATCATGTATTACAGACAACTTTGCCATCTTTCAATGACATTGTTAATATTTGATATATGAAGCTTAAAAGATCAAAAATATTTTTGATTAATCATTGTAAGCTTTGATGTGGTTTGTTTGAGCCGTTGTTGGTGTCAAATGATAGATAAGGGTCATCAATACATTGGACATTCTATAAAATTCAAATGTAAGTCTTTATTTTGCCTAAAACATTGAAAATAGATAAAAGTGGACCTTTAATTCAAATAGCATTAAAGTAGCTTAAAAGCATGACTTTTTGAATTACAAATCGCATCCCTCAAAGCACTACTCATGCAAGTAAGTATATTGTCAAAAATCGGAGAATACTGTGAATATATACACAAATGCCTTCTTTCTTATACCTTTCCAAGATACAACAAATATATATTTACAATCCTGAGTAGTGGTAAAATTTAGAGAATAAAATAACATTGAAATTGTTTATCAAAACATTATGAAAATTGTTTTTGGAATTTACAGTTTTGGGTTGGCCATAAATTGAATGTTCCTAAAAAACAACTAGACAATGGCAACTCCGCGGAGTAGCAAATCCCAACGAACGAAATATCAATTACCGAATTCCAATCAATTATACTCATTACTTTGGTTAAAATTGAAAAATTTAAATTTTAGAATTGCGAATTCCTGCAAAGCAGCCATTTTGAATTTTCTGAGGTACAAATCTGAAGAATAATACCATAATTGTGATCTACTCCAAAATTCCTTCAATTTAAGTATAATATAGCCATACTTTGAAGGGATCGAAAAATTATTGCGAAATCGTACATTAGACGGTCATTTTGAATTTTACGAGGCTCGAATCAGAAAAAAGATACAATATTTGCAATCTACTCTTAATTGCCTTTCATTTGAGTATAATAAAGCTATACTTCAGAAAGATCTAAAAATTAGCGAAAATTACTGTTTTCCTGACCCCCCATACACAGCCCCTGGGGGTCAGGATGAAAAAAACGGAATATATGTGAAATAGATAGATGTTGCGAATATACTACCAAAATTTCAAACAATAATATTAATTACTTTGGTTTAGAATGAAAAATTTATGGTTTTTGCGAAAAAGTCCCGTCATTTTTAAAGCGGCGGCCATCTTGAAAAAAATATACCAATATACATCTTTCCACTAAATATAAAGAAAATCCGTCAACTCGTATTTGAGTTATCTTCCGGAAGGACAGACGGACTGACGGACGGAGGGCTTCACTATATCCCTACCGAACTTCGTTCGTTGGGATAACTAGCTCCACACAATAACTCATTTAGCAGTTTAAAGGCTCTGGTTTTCATTTTGAGAAAATTCAAGTTTCATCCTTCAACCTCAAATCCATGATTGAATTAAAACTGAACAATCACTGCATTTTCCAAAAGTTTCTGAGAAAAAGATATAGAAGTACATGTTTGTACCTTTGTAAGACTAGTGCTGTGAAAGTAGACTGGTTTTGGCATAGTTGCTTCAAGCTTCGTCCATTTCATTTCATCCAGATTAAACTTCCAAAAATCTCCAAATATTTCTATGCCATTGTAGCCTCCACACATGTAAAGCTCTGAAAAAGATAACAGAGATTAAGTACATATGTAGGTTATACCATATTCTCTAGATATACCACATGCTTGCTTATGATTAACCATATTCTCAGGATTTATTCATCTTTTTCTCATGATTTACCCAAATCTCATGAATAACCATATTCTAATGATATACCATTTTCTCATGATCTACCACTTTCTCATACTCTCATGAAATTCACTTTAAAAGCAATTGTGTGTTCTTAGTTTCTTACCAAGACCATTAAAATCTGTATGTTCAAGCACTTCTTAAATGTGAACACCTGCTAATCAGAACATGTATGGCCAGTCCCAGTGACATTCAGATAAGACAGGTTATACTGTATATTATTACGACCTTGCCGGGCCAGTTCTATGGGGTTTAGTGCTAGTTAAGAAGGCATTCATTTTTTTACTATATCGACCTGAGCAATATGTGACGTCATGGTGGCGGTCCATATTGCCGGTCAATAAGGCAATCAATGACCAGCAATTTTCCCTAGGAATTAGATATCGTTCAGTTTGTAAGATTTTCTTGCTGTTTCAGTCCTGGTCATTAACGGTGGTGGGACCTCAGTCCAATATTGCCCTTTGAAATGACATTATTGTACTAATTTTGAGAGCACCCCATTCTCACGTTATGAAAACAAATACTATATTCATGATTCAAATAAGATACAGTATACATTACAAAGTCTCTGTGTGATACAGGCTTGTATATACTGTAGGTGTTAATTTTGTACATGTAGACTCACCATTATCTTGTTGAATGCAGGAGTGACACTTTCTAGGTTGGGGAAAACCTGAAAGATAAATCAAAATTGTAAAATTGTCAGGAAAATGATTGCAATGTGAGTGTCGGTTGGTAAAGGTTATTACATGAAGATAACAGAAATCATCATTTTGCAATAATAACTTGAAATGGTCCCATAGTTTGAAGTTTTCATTTTTTAAGTGCCCCCTTTGTCATTGTTTTCCTGATCATGTGGCTTCTGTCAACCTACCATGTTTGCCATCCCCTGTTGTCTTGACTTCCTGCCATCTGAGTTTGAGCAAATCATAAGCTGGTAAATTCTCAAAGCCATAGCTTTCGTCAGCACGTCCTCCACCAAATATATACAGCTTATTTTTATGCAGAGCCACTTCTTGTCTATACCTACAAACACATGCATACAATAATAAATACGGTCTATGGAGAGCCTATTATTTCCTTTAATGGAAGATTAAATTCTGAAATGTAACAGTATCTCATTATAGTCTTTAATTAACTCAAAGCTACTAATGCTTCAAAAAATTTCAGTTTCTCCTTTATTTATGTAATGCACAAAAATTGTTATTATCGCAATACCTAAAACAAGGAATTAACATGCAAAATGTCACTACCTGCCATTTGTTACAGATGCTGACCACCACCTGACAATGCCAAACACACAAAAATGTTGGAGACTATGGCAATATGTCACCACTTAAATAAATTAAAGTGACAAAGACATTGCTGTGAATAGACTATGACAATATGTCACCACTTGAATAAATTAAAGTGACAAAGACATTGCTGTGAATAGACTATGACAATATGTCACCACTTAAATAAATTAAAGTGACGAAGACATGCTGTGAATATTACCTTCCAGGTGGCTCTTTTGTATTATTTCCCATGTTATTTAAGTCTTCCCACTCCAAGGTATTAAGGTCTAAGGTGTGTACCTCAGCATTATATTGCCATCCTGTTGTCCCACCAAATACACACAGCTTCTCATCAAAAAGCATCACACTCTAAAATATATCCAAATAAAATTCAAAATTATTTAAAGGCACAAAATACTGTAAAACGGGGTTTTAGCGCGGGAAATTTTAGCGATATGAAGATTAATCTTTAAAAAATCAAATTGGCGAAATGCATTAGAAATTTTATCATTTATGGCAGAAGAATGATTAACGGACATGACAGAGGAATTATCAAAATGTAAGACTTCTAACGCACATGGTGTTGGTCCAAACTACTGTAATCTCATCTGACTAATCGGCACAAAATCACGGTAGCATTTAAAATCGTTGATTTTTCGGTCCAAGCTAATCTCATCTGACTCATCACAAAATGTAACATTTAAATCGTTGATTTTTCGTCTTCATGGTTAAGATATACGTCCAACGCCGTGAAACATGTACCGGTAATTTCAGGTTGTCGTCCTAGTTTTGCATTTCTGTCTTATGAGCACTGAACGAAAAGCTCCTTAAATTCTAGTATTCATGTAGTTTCCCGGGAATTTGCAAATTTTAGCGCCCGGTTTATTTTAACTCCGGTTTATTTTAGCGAATTGAATTTTTAGCGAAACTATAGCGATCGCTAACAATCGCTAACAATTACCCCTTGCTAACAATACCCGTTTTACAGTACATGTATACATTTATAATGAGAGCATAAATACAATTTCGACCACAAAATACATGTATACATTTATAATGAGAGCATAAATACAATTTCGACCAAGCCTGACATTGAAAATACCTAATAACAGGTAAAACTTTAACATTTGACTGTTTTCCATACAGGCCATAGTACCATATTAATACAGCAATACATAAAAAGGGATCAGCAAAATATGTTCACTCTGACGTTCTAAGAAGTTTTAGTATGGGAATCAATGTGACATCTATTAACTATGGCTGTAAAAGGTACTGTACTCCCATTACTTTTTGGATGCAATTTAATTTTCATGACTGTGATATAATCATGAAAAATAATCATTTTGCGAAATTTGCCAATTAAATCCCTGGAGAAAATTAAAACTCACAGTGTTCACATGTTGAGGTGTTCATTTTATCATGGTTTCACAAACATATGATCGCTGTATGCGTGTACTTACATTGCCATAGGTCTTGAGGGGTACATCTCCACTTGTGCTAAGCTTGCTCCATCGTAATGTTTTCAGGTTGCATACATAAACTTCATTGCTACTGGCCACTCCAAATGGAATACCAGTTCCTCCATACACTACCAGCTGCTGACCAAGAAGTATTGCTGAAATATGAAAATAATCATATCAGGCTATCAGAAGAGTGTGATTCATATTTTCGCAATCTGGATCCCCCTTCTTCCCTCCTTAAAGTAAAATTTGAAAAAGCAATGTTTACTGGTTCTGTAATTTTTTCCACAAAACTGATATAAAATTTGCTACTTTGGCAACTAATGAGCCCCTGAAAAATGAAGAAAACTTAAGCTGTTTAATAAAAGCTGATTTTGGGTATTACCTGAATGAGATGCCAGTTCCTTAGGCATATGTCCTAATGTAGTCATCTTTTTCCACTTTCTAGTTGCAAAGTTAAACTTCCAAAGCTGAAAAATTTTTGGAGATTGATTATCACTATTGATGCATACAATCATGGGCTTTCAACAGACACACATAGCTAGGCAAGGTGTGTCCAATTCCAGCCAATCAGAATACACTATTTCACGTAACTGCATTCCGTTATATAACCAATAACTCATTTGTTGTATGGTTGTCAAGGTGAGGAAATTGAAATTGATGCTTTGCCAACTTGACCATTGCAAAAAATGTCATTAAAATATGTTGTTCTAGTGATTTTGTAATGTGTGGAAAGAATTTAAGCTTAAAACTCAATGCATCGTGGCTGCTTCATTCCACTCAGGCGTTGTTTCCTACATTCCCGCTGCATGGACATGCAAAGATTTGGAAACAGCATCTTCAATGGAATGATTCAGCATGCAATACACTAAGTCCAGGGCTAAAATCCTTAATTACCATTAGTATCATATTCAATTGTGAAAAAAATAAAAATTTTGAATATTTTTATTTTTACTGACATTTGATCTCATAACTGTTAACTTGAATATTTTGCCAGCATTGATATGATCATTAACCTTTCAATCAAACTTACTTCTCTGAATAATGGGTAATTAGTGAAGTCATCATTCTCAATGTCCCATAGATCTGAGTTGTAGCCCCCTATGCTCCAAATATTATCTTCTGTCACAACTATTCTGTGGCCACTTCTGGGTGCTGGCTCTTGGAAATCTGCAATATTTAATTCTTTGATCATTTGCAAGCTGATTTCTTTTCCAAGCTATCTTCTATATTAAATATCTAAAGTATATGGTCATTATTCATTTACAAAGATTTTGTATATTACGTATGTAAGCTGTTCTGTGAGGGAAAGATGACCCATTGTATATTTGTTGGCTGAGACCTACCTGTAATACATTTTGTAAAGTCTAATCTGGGAGGAACATGTACAAATCTGTTCATTCCTATACACAAAGGTGGAGGTTGAGATCCAGTATTCCGTAGTGGTTGACCACTTGGTGTTTCAAACCTAAATGAATGACCAACAACAGTGAAGACATCATAATGAAATAACTGGTCAATGTTTTGCACAGGTTCATTATTCAAAAGTGCAGGGGCCCATGGAGAGGAACTGGTAAAAAACACTTCCCCCTGTGTGTTGACAACGATGCGGCAATGTTCAGGAGAGAGACTCGCTGCGACAATTGTTACGTCACAATCTGATCCTCTACCGATGGTGCATATTGTTTTTGTAAGTGTATAACGGGCTCCATCATTTCCACTCCTATTTACTTGAATCAGGTATCCATAGAGAGGCATTTCAGTATCACAGTCTGTGGTTTATTGCACAATCAACAGAAGTCTAAGTCTAACATTGCTTCTGAAGTCAGAATTCCAAGATGAAAATGAGAGATCTCACGTTCACTCCAAATTCACAACTTCACCAATATGCACAAACCGCTTCGAACATAATCCGTGAAATTTTAGAAATATTAGCTAATGATATTCTTGCTGTTCAAGTAGAGGTTCACGAATAAGTCGAGATGGTCGTGAAAATTATTTTTTCCTAAATTTAGCACTTCCGATGAAGTTTTATTATCTGACTTTTAATTGGTTAAAATACTTGGAGTTAATTTTTCTAGCCAATCAAGTAGCTTGTTACTGGACGGACTCGGATGTACTGTCATGGCGGCTGAAGACTCCACTCCCAAGAAAATATTAAATATTTTGTCATCTTTTTTACACCAGGAAGAATACAGCACTGATTTGAAGTAAGGGTTATTAAGTTGCCATATTGTTTTATAATCAGCCGAATTTTTGAAGATGTTAGACACGTATATGTCAAGCATCACTCCATTTTCAATTTTCAATTTCAATTCAATTCACTTTATTTCAAATGTTTCAAATACAGTATTTTACATTGACATGAAAAGACACCCCGAGGGGTGTATAAGTTCCATGTTTAACTAATACAATATAGCATTTATTAAATTAACAGTCAGGTTATATGGAAACAAAAAAAAAATGACAAAGCATATAATGCATCACAATAAAATACAAGTAATGAGAAGAAAGCATTTTTCAAAGAAGATTTAATAATGGCTTAGCAAATCAAACTTTAACTTTCGTTCAAATGATTTGATATGTTTTGACTTTTTGAGATCAAGTGAAAGAGTATTGTAAAGTAATGGGCCACTTGTTTCAATTGATTTTCTTCCAATTTCTGTTCTGAATTTTTTAACAGTTAAATTCTTATTAATTCTTGTGTCATGATTATGAATTGCTGTTCCTGGAACAAATAAATGTTTGAACTTTTGAAAAGGAAATTCTGGTGATTCTGAAACAGTTTTCTGAACAAAGCTAGCGGTTTGTAGTTTATGGATGTGAAATATATTCAATATTTTCAGTTTTGAAAAGAGAGGTCCTGAAGGAGCTAGACAATCAGAATAGGTCATAACTCTCAAGAATTTCTTTTGCAGAACATACAATTTTTGGATAAGAGTTTTTATGGCATTTCCCCATAAAAGGTTACAATAGCCTAAGTAGGAATATATCATGGAGTAATAGATAGTGGTCATTGTATTTAAAGTCAGTCTATGTCTAGTCTTGTAGAGAAGGCCTATCAAGTTAGAAATTTTTGTACAGATAGCATTTATGTGAGATGACCAATTCAGCTTTGAATCAATAATGACACCTAGAAAATTGATTTCTTTAACTTCTTCTATAGGTTGTTCATTAATTTTGAGAACAATATTGTTTTTATTAGGATCTTTCTTTTTATTAAATATCATATATTTTGTTTTTTCTACATTAAGAGTTAATTTATTAGATTTCATCCAGTTAGAAACAGTTTTTAATTCAGCATTCATATCTGAGACTAGAGTTTCAAAATTTTTATTGGTAAGTAGGATATTAGTATCATCAGCATATAAGACAAAGTTTAGTTTGTTTGATATTAAATGTATGTCATTTATAAATATTATAAACAAGAGGGGACCTATGACTGAACCTTGAGGGACACCATATTCAACTTTATTTTTACCGGATCTATATCTAATATCTGTAGTTGTAAATTGATCAATCAAGACATCTTTCTTAACAATTTCTGTGACCATAATTCGATTTTCGAGATAACTTTTGAACCAGGAAAGAGCTGTTCCACGAATACCATAAAATTCAAGTTTTTGTAATAATATTTTGTGATCCACTGTATCAAAAGCCTTAGTCAAATCAATGTATATCCCAATGCTAGTTTCCCCGATATCTAGTGCCCTACGAATATTTTCAATGAAATTTAAAAGTGCCATATAAGTTGAGTGCTTCTTCCTGAAACCATATTGTTGTAAATATAAAATTTCATATTTTTCTAAAAAAGTTGTCACTTTTACATGAACAATTTTTTCAAGCACTTTAGAAAATACACTGAGAATTGATATTGGTCTATAGTTGTTGAATTTATCTTTAAGGCCTTTCTTATAAATTGGAATTACTCTAGCTATTTTTAATGCATCAGGAAATGTACCAGTAGTTATTGATAAATTGAATATCTGAGTAAGAGGAATTGATAAAGATTCGTTCAGTGTTTTCACTACTCTGGGTTCTATATCATCTATAGATGCAGCAGAGTCTTTTAAAGATTTTAATTGGGCCATGACATCAGTTTCAGTAATAGGTGTTAAAAATATTGAGTTATTATTTGAATTAGTTTTCTTTAAATTTACCATTGGATCTAGATCATTGTTTATCTTTTTTGCAAGTTTATGACCAATTGAACTAAAAAAATTATTGAAATTCTTAGCTATGTCGAGACCATCTGTGATTTGTCTATTTTCAAGATCAAAAGTATCGTTGATATTAGATTGATTTGGATTTCTGTTTAAGATAGAGTTAATTACATTCCAAGATTTCTTTATATTGCCTTTATTTGTCTCAAATTTATTTCTGTAATATGATTTTTCTGCATTTCTAATGACATGGTTAAGCTTATTTTTATATTGTGTATATATTGCATTGTTTTCTAAAGTAGGATTCTTTTTATATTTTATAAAAAGTTTGTTTTTATATTTAGCTGAGATAATGATCCCGAGAGAAATCCAAGGTTTTTTATGATCATTATAGGTTTTAATTATTCTGGATCTGTTTGGTAGACATCTATTATAAATATCAGTAAAAATATCAATGAAGGAGTTATATGCATTATTCACACAATTTGGATCAAGTATTTCTTGCCAATTAATATTTGCGACCTCATTTTGGAGTTTGGAACAATTTTCATCATTTATTATTCGATATTGAATCTTTTTCTTTTTAATTTTAGGTATTTCATTATTATTACTTACAGCATATATTGGAAATGATCTGATATATCATATAAAATTATACCAGATTGGGTGATATTATTTGCATTGGTGAAAATGTTATCAATTAATGTAGCACATTTGCTAGTGATTCTTGTAGGTCTATAAATTAAAGGCATAAAATTATTAGTATAAAAGTTACACAAAAAGTCATTTGTAAGGTCATGTTCATTTGATTTCAGAAGGTCAACATTAAAGTCCCCTAAAATATAGGCAAACTTATTTTCAGATGCCATTTTCTCTAAGAGTGAATTAAAAAGATTATTAAATTCATGTAGGTTAAAATTAGGTGGCTTATAAATAGCTGATACCAAAATATTTTTCCCTTTATTTTGTTTGATTTCTATGGAAACAGATTCACATTTATCAGAGTTTAATTTAAGATCAGATCTTTCAATGAAATTGTAATTATTTGCAATATGGAGGCAAACCCCGTCTCCATATTACATTTGCAAAGTCTCTAAGTTACCAATTGCTTCTGTGTTGATAGGGACTTGTTTTTATATCTGAGTAGACATTTTCTTGCGAGAAATAAGAATAGGAGTTTGACGCAAATTCACAAAGTAGCATCTGGAGATTTTCAAATGAACATTAGCTCTCACGGTGAAATCACCCGGGATTTCAAATGCTACTTTGAATTTCCATCAAAACCACCTTTTCATTTTTTCGCTACAATGTAGTTCCATCGAGTCCCATCATGTCCTTTCAAGTTCCACAGAAATTATGTAATTTTTATAGAAGGTTTAGCCATGGCCAATTTGATCCACAAGTTTTCGTGAAAACAATTTTGTTGCGAAAGGAAATCGAAATGAATTCTTTTATCCAAAATGATCAAATTGCTTTAGGTTAGGTGCAATGCTTTTTTACCTATTTCCAAGGCTGTCCTGGTATTTCGGGCTTATGTATGATATATCGCTGCTATCACTTGTTCTCACTTTTTTATGAACACAATATCAAACATACCTTTGTGTTTACCTATTTCAAAGGCTGAATGTTTCTGATGGAATAGCCTTTAGTTGCAAATGATAAGCTGCTACATAATGGTAACGCCTAAAACTGACTTACTAACGCTAACTTTCTACCTCGGAATATTCCCTACGTCTCCATATTACATTTGCAAAGTCTCTAAGTTACCAATTGCTTCTGTGTTGATAGGGACTTGTTTTTATCTCTGAGTAGACATTTTCTTGCGAGAAATAAGAATAGGAGTTTGACGCAAATTCACAAAGTAGCATCTGGAGATTTTCAAATGAACATTAGCTCTCACGGTGAAATCACCCGGGATTTCAAATGCTACTTTGAATTTCCATCAAAACCACCTTTTCATTTTTTCGCTACAATGTAGTTCCATCGAGTCCCATCATGTCCTTTCAAGTTCCACAGAAATTATGTAATTTTTATAGAAGGTTTAGCCATGGCCAATTTGATCCACAAGTCAGCTGACACATTGCATGATCAAAAGTTCTATGAAACCCCATGGAAAGAATGAATATGTTCATTCTCAATGGGGCCTGGGTTTGACTTTGCCCCATGGTGTCTCATGGAATTCTATGGGTAAAGGCCCCCATGAAGTCTCAGGTGGTACTACGCAATGTTTTAGTCTATTGGAGGTCCCATTGTGCCCTATTGGTGTATGTTGGGCTTTGAAGACGTGCATGCAACTCTCTTCCTTTCTTTAAAAAAGTAAGAGGGGGAACACATTCCAAGATAGCTTTTGAAATGCCACCTATTTATCAGTAGGTGGTGCATCAAATACTAAAAAAATAAACTGTGTTTTATTTTCAGTTCATCAGGTGACGGCAGCTTTATAAATGAGAAAAGTCCAATGAATCTTGGAGCAACACAATCAAAGGAAGCATACTTTCAGAGAGTGCAGACATTCTCTGTATCCTTTAAAAACATATGACATATATATTGATCCCAGAAAAATGCAACCCTCTATTTTAAAGATTAGATTTTAAAGAGAAATTATTTTGGCCAGGGTTCTGTATCGTTCTATTTTGTATCAAGTTTCTAAAGAAATGGCCTTTTTTGTTATGGCTGTTTTGTTATGAGTATGGCTCATCTTTCCTAGCTATTATTTTCCAAATAAGCCAATTATTTTTGGATTGTTTTGATATACATCATCCTTGAATTATCCTCTTATGACACCATAAAGCACTGCACAGACAATGTATGGTATGAGTGCTTTAGGTGATGTTTGGTGTATCCAAAGCATGATTGGTGAGATTCTGTATATTTTTGAAGGACTTCAACCCAGTTGAGTAATTTGTAAGTATGGAACCCTTCAGTCTAAACAGATATAGACTGTAGTATACAGAATGTGCCATATTTCATGAAATTGTCACAATAGTAATCACAATTTTTCATGGGTGGATTCATGGGTGGCATTATTGGTCACTCTGTAGATAATACATCTGTTATGTATATGTCTTTGTATCAGTGCACATAAAAGAACACAGGGTTCCAAGGAGGGGTTTCTTCCAGTGTAAACATGGAATTTACCAATGAGGTATTGCTCGTGATTTGGTGGTAGCCAAAATAAAATGACTATGCTTTGAAATATATTCAAATCTGAGTCACCAAAATGAGATATTAAATGTCAAAATTGTTGTTACCATTTTTATGTCACCACCAAAAGTGGTGACATATTGTTATTTATGTTTGAGATTTGACAATAGTAAATAAATATAAGTTGGTTTTCTTAACAACATGTAGATGATAACATGGGTAGCTAAGCCTGCAGATCTAAGTCCCCTGCACTGTGCACGGTATGGATGGGAGAATGTTGATAATGATATTCTACGTTGTGTCACATGTAAAGCAGTCCTCAGTGCAAAATTACCTGAGAATTATGACCCAGAAATATGTAAGTTTAATTGAAATTTTTTATTAACATTTTACACATACATATACATCTATCTCCCTAGGATTTTTTCAAGTGAATCTGGTTGCTCTTATGCTTTAGGGATCATTGACATTTGACTTTAGTTCACGTTAGTAATTCAGATACTCATGGATGGTAATGCAGATAACTTTTATATGGCAGTGTTCTCCACAAGATTTGTTCAGTGGGTGCAAAATTGTCATTTTCACAATATAAACCAAAATTGGTCAAAATATGCCCATCTTCATGATTTTTCAAGTGGGTACAAATGGATTTTCAGGTAGGTGCTAGCCTATTTTTCAAAATCTCAGGTCGGTGCACTTGCTTTAATGCTGGGGATATCACTGAATCTAGACCAAAATTGGTCAAAATATGCCCACTTTCATGATTTTTATATTTTTCAAGTGGGTGGATTAAATGGATTTTCAGGTGGGTGCAAGACTTTTTTTTAAATCTCAGGCGAAAGCTGCCCCCACTTGCTTTAATGCTGGGGAGACTACTTTACGGAATTAATAATATGGATAATTGCAAATACGATTTTGATTTTAGATGAAGAGTGCTGTGAGAATATTGGCCAGTCAATAGTTCACTCCCACCAGCAGCTCTGTCCCTGGTCTGTCAATCCTAGCCCCCTACACTTCGCAGCTATACCCCTAGAGGACAAAACAGTAGCAGCAGATCAGTATCTGAACAGATTCAAATCTCTTATACAAATGGGAGAGAAGATTCCAGCCTTGCAGCTTAACTCATTAGTAAAGGAGGTATGTTCATGTTACAGGAAGGGTGGGGACAGGGGGGGGGGGTATTTTGATGTTTTGAAGTTATCTTTGTGTAAGTTAGAGCTTTTGAGTCTCTTTAAGTGGCTAAGACAACAGCACAACAGTTATTTGGAGCTTTTTCTCCGAGCTCCCCAAATTGAGTTACAGGATCAATCATTAGGTAAGTATTGCAACTACAACAAAGCCTGGGTTTTTGATAGGTCATAAAGAGTCACAATACAATTCTAGGATAAAATACTCACTTATCTGGCTAAAAAAAAGACTTTGCTTAATATTTTGAGTGAATTATGTTCATTTTACTTATAAATCCTGTATTATCTTGAACAGGGAGGAGCAAATATGAAACAAAAACTGCTAGAAGCTACCATGTCAAGCCTCATAGAAGAAACAACCTCTTCAAATGAGGAGATAGTGGGAAACTGTGCAGTCCTGGCTTTAACTGGTTGGTGCAACAAGTAAGCAGAAATGAATTTTTTATGTGCAATTTTATTCATTCTTTCACAAACATCTCTTTCTATTAATTAGAGACATAATAATAACTTTGATAATGACCAACACCATGTTTGTGTCATACCGTCATATATTTTTGAATGATTTTGAATAATTCATGCAACACAGTTTCACCTAGTGACATTGCCAGACCATTCTTAGACTCGAGAATTACTAAATTATAAATTACTGCATTGCCTTCTCCAACGCAGGGCTTCAGATATCATCCACTACGTCCCTTCCTTCTTCCAAGAAGAGGTACAAAGGAAGGAGGTACTGGAGGCCTATGCTCGGAGGATGCTAGATTGTAAATTACTAAACTCTGAAACTGTATCACTCATTGTGACACTGTTGTGAACAATATTTTGTTGACAGAAAATAAATTACTATGTACATATTTTAGTGGAACTCGAGACTCCCAGATCATCACCTGCAAGTACTGCTGCAGACACATAGGCCTGTGGAGCTACATTTCTGCTGGTTGTAATAATGCTCAATCAACAACTGAGGACGAAGATGAAGATGGTCCTTCTAACAAACGTATAAGATCTGACAGGGTAGGTAGAGTGATAAATGCATAACATCTCCAAGGCAGGTTGAACCGTGCTGTTCATTTTGTATATATTTTTTATCGCACTTTGAAAAAGTGCTATATTGTCGTCGTCTTGTGCTGTTGGGCGGGCGTGCTGGCGAGCGGCACATAAACAATCTTGTCATCAAATTTCCTGGATAACTGCTTACCTGTTCAACTTGAAATTTTTACAGATGCAAGAGCAGACAAGTACCAAGATCTGATTAGGTTAGGGGCATGCTGGGTAAACTACATGGCGGCCATTTTGAATTTTTCAACAAATCTTGTCATCAAAATTCCAGGAAAACCACTTATCTGTTCAACTTGAAATTTTTACAGATGCAAGAGCAGACTATTGCCAAACTCTGATTAGGTTTTGGGTATGCTGGCTGAATTACATGGTGGCCATTTTGAATTTTTCAATTTGGCGGCCATTTTGAATTTTTCAACTTGCTCCAAATTGACCAAATTCTTTTTTTAAAAACATCTACAAGTTCTCAGAAGTTCAAATCTGACCTTAGATTTCAGATTTGACCTTTCATTCACCTCCAGTGACCTTGAAAAGGTCAAAAAAGTTGATTTTCTAAATTGATATTTTGGATTTAAATTTATGTCAGCTTTATTACAAAACACCTACTGAGGTCTGAAAAAGTGAAATTTTCAAGATTGAAGGTCAAGGTCATTAAACTAGGTCACAAATGATGTTATCCAAGTTTCTCAAAGTTTGAGACTACAAATCAATTCTTGTCATCAAAATTCCAAGAAAACCGCTAACCTGTTCAACTTGAAATTTTTACACATGCAATAGCAGACTAGTGCCAAGATCTGATTAGGTTAAGGGCATGCTGGGTAAACTACGTGGCGGCCATTTTGAATTTTTCAACAAATCTTGTCATCAAAATTCCAGGAAAACCACTTATCCGTTCAACTTGAAATTTTTACTCATGCAAGAGCAGACTATTGCCAAGATCTGATTAGGTTTTGGGTATGCTGGCTGAATAACATGGTGGCAATTTTGAATTTTTCAATTTGGCGGCCATTTTGAATTATTCAACTTGCTCCAAATTGACCAAATATTTTTTTTAAAAACATCTACAAGTTCTCAGAAGTTCAAATCTGACCTTAGATTTCAGATTTCACCTTTCGTTCACCTTGAGTGACCTTGAAAAGGTCAGAAAGTTGATTTTCTAAATTGATATTTTGGATTTAAATTTAGGTCAGCTTAATTACAAAACACCTACTGAGGTCTGAAAAAGTGAAATTTTCAAGGTCGAAGGTCATCAAATTAGGTCACAAACAATGTATCTAAATTTTCCCAAAGTTCAAGACTACAAATAAATTCTTGTCATCAAAATTGCAGGAAAACCGCTAACCTTGTCAACTTGAAATGTTTACAGATGCAAGAGCAGACTAGTGCCAAGGTCTGATTAGGTTTTGGCCATGCTGGGTAAATTGCATGGTGGCCAGTTTGCTTTTCAAAGTGCGATATTTATCACTATGTGTCTTGTTTTTCTTAGTGTGTATCATAAGGATTATGGACCAATAGGTTAAAACAGAATTTTCAATTTATTATGTCACCATTATGATGGTATTTGTGGTTGGTGTTCAGCATTTGGCATCTGTAACAATTGGCAGGTGGTGATATTTTGTATGTTTATGCTTTGTTCAATGTTATTACACATTTAATAACTCCCTTAGCTATACATGAAAAAACATGGAAGCTATAGTCAACTTCAACTCTCCTGCAAGGGTACATAACACTAACACACACTAATATAAATTACATTTTTCAGAATCGATGTCAAGAACTATTTGACCCGATAAATGAACACAGATTGTGGTGTCCTTGGGTTGCCAAACCTAGACAGCCCACTACCTCTCCAAGCAGTCTATCAGATTCTGGGGACCAATCATCGTTACAACATAGCCTCATAGACCATCATCTCTCTATGAAAGGGTCAACACAATGTGGCTGGAGGACTCTGGGAGATATTCTCCTTCCCTCATGTACTTCTCCATCTCTTTCTGATGCCAAAACTGTAAGTAGCTTCAACTCTAAAAATTCTTTGCCTATGAAAAAACTGTTTGCCCAACTCTAAAAGAGATTCCATGCTCTGAAAGAAACTCCCTACTCTAAAAGAAACTTCCCGGTTTAAAAGAAACTCCCTGGTTTAAAAGAAACTTTTTATTATTCTTTGCATTCATTAACAGATACAGATAAGACCTGTGGCTATGTAAAAACTTAGTCAATTATTGTCAATATATCTTTACAAGCACCCTGTGAATGTACTGTTCTGTTTCAGAGTCCTGCTCATGAAGGTTTGCGCAACATTCGGAAGATATTAAATCACTTGGCGGGAGATGAGGCGATGCACTGAGGTAGCGGCATGATGCAATATAGAAACTCTTCAAGATATGTGTTCTCCAGCTCAAATGGGACTTACACCTTTAATGTGAGATTTCACTCAATACTCAATAATGGATGATTGAGGTTCTTTTGCAGTTGGTGGATTGAATTATCAGCCCAAATATAGATTTGGCTCCTTTGTCTCATAATGAGACTGTGCTCAACAGCTAGTCCCAAGTTTACGAAGTAAGACACATAGGATATTCCATATGGCCTAATGCCATATCCAGAGGGGAGACATAGGGTGAAGAATGAGCCCAGAAAAATTATTTTTGGCCTAAAAATTTTGTAGGGCCTCAATTAGTGGGCTTTTTGGACCTAATTTTTTGTGGGAGTTTCCCTCCTCTTGGGTAGCTGAATGTTTCAGTATGTTGATCAAAATAATAGAAATCCCGGATTATAGTTCATGGCTCTCACTAGGAAATATTTAGGGTATGGTGGAAAAATCTTCAGCATAACTGTTCAGTCATAATAAATAATTTTTATGATATATTTCATCCATTTTACATGCTATTGTTGTAAATTAAGTCAAGTTTAGACTATGCGAAAAAATCATGATTTGCAAATAGAGCGGGCGCTAAATAGACTGTGGTGCTGCACCACAGCCACAGTCTAAAAGCCTAACAAGAGCCCTGTACTACAATTTTGACCATTAGATCCCAAATCCTTATACGACACACACACATCAATGAGAACTGATTCATTTACAATTTTTACTGACTTTATTTGACAAATATTATTAATCCTATGAATTCAGTACACATATAATGAGAGGAATATGGAACATATCATTGCAAATATCAAAAAGTGTTGACTGAGATCAGAGAGAAACGATGGAACGTTGATCTAGATTCTAGACCAGATAAATCAGAAGGGATGTTATGCAATACATGTTGTTTAATTATGCAATACTTTGATAATGCAATGTTAGCTTCATTCATGCAAGTCCTTTATGTCAAATGTTATGCGACTTATGAAATGAACAAAAAAATATTAAGATTCAAAATGTCCATTTCTTGGGGTGGAGGGGGGTAATATAGGTCTTAAAAATACTTGTCCTTTCTCTGATGTTCTCAATCTAGATGTATAGAATAGAATGTAAGGTGCTTTTATGTGAATATATGCAGCTGCAATATCAAGTATGCATTGTACTATTGATTTACCCTGCATTGCATTGTATATCTACCCTGTATTGCATTGTGTATCTACCCTGCATTGTATTGTATATCTACCCTGCATTGTATTGTTTATCTACCCTGCATTGCATTGTATATCTTCCCTGCATTGCATTGTATATCTACCCTGCATTGCATTGTATATCTACCCTGCATTGCATTGTATATCTACCCTGCATTGCATTGTATATCTACCCTGCATTGCATTGTATATCTACCCTGCATTGCATTGTATATCTACCCTGCATTGCATTGTATATCTACCCTGCATTGCATTGTATATCTACCCTGCATTGCATTGTATATCTACCCTGCATTGCATTGTATATCTACCCTGCATTGCATTGTATATCTACCCTGCATTGCATTGTATATCTACCCTGCATTGCATTGTTTATCTACCCTGCATTGCATTGTATATCTTCCCTGCATTGCATTGTATATCTACCCTGCATTGCATTGTATATCTACCCTGCATTGCATTGTATATCTACCCTGCATTGCATTGTATATCTACCCTGCATTGCATTGTATATCTACCCTGCATTGCATTGTATATCTACCCTGCATTGCATTGTATATCTACCCTGCATTGCATTGTATATCTACATTGCATTGCATTGTATATCTACCCTGCATTGCATTGTATATCTACCCTGCATTGCATTGTATATCTACCCTGCATTGCATTGTATATCTACCCTGCATTGCATTGTATATCTACATTGCATTGCATTGTATATCTACATTGCATTGCATTGTATATCTACCCTGCATTGCATTGTATATCTACCCTGCATTGCATTGTATATCTACCCTGCATTGCATTGTATATCTACCCTGCATTGCATTGTATATCTACCCTGCATTGCATTGTATATCTACCCTGCATCGCATTGTATATCTACCCTGCATCACATTGTATATCTACATTGCATTGCATTGTATATCTACCTTGCATTGCATTGCATTTGTGAATTAGATTGGGGATGGTGTCCAATAGTTGACTGAAGAGGGCTGATATTTTCAGCGGAGAGGAAGTAAATATCGTCCCTTCACTATTATAAGGTTCTAACTACCAAAATGGGTCAAATGCATGTGAAAGTGGATTCCCCCTAAATTCACCACGCTCTTTCCAAAGATTAAGGTTATAAAGCTGTATCTCCAGCAGAAATAAGAGATTTCTAATGCAATAAGGGTCTATGTCCTTCATTTGAAAAAGATAGTTACTGCTATATGGTTCTATCTCTTGAGATAAAACTTTTTAACATTCAATGTCATGATTCAAATTGGAGATAAAACCTTTTTACATTTAACGACATAGTATATCCAGTGTGAGTCAGACAAAATGCTACCCACCCACATAATATTGCATAACTTTTTCATCTGCACAAATTCTGACTTGTCCTTTTGCATAGTAAAACTCAACTCCATGGAGCAGCTCCAGATGAAGTTTTAGATTACTAGCTGAATTAGATGCACCTTTATGAGCATTATAAGATGTTTGGTCTATTCCATTTATGTCAAAATTCTTCTTTACTGTATCACAAAGATAGAGGAACCTAAATGTTTGTTCTCTGTTTTCTCAAAAATGGTACAAGTGGACATAGAACCTTTTAATAGTGAAGGGACGATATGTAGTTTGAAAAACTCAAGTAAAATGCAAATTGACATCTCAAAATTGTGTTATATAGGGGAGGGATGTATTGGCCAGGGGTGGGACAAACCATAAAGAAGTTTACTTTGTTTGTCCATAACTGCCAACATTTGGACAATGGGCATCATCCCTTATTTGTACAGGGTGGCCCAAAAGTTTACAGGTTATTTAACAATCTGTAAACTGTAACTGTCAATCTACTTTTAGGCCACCCAGTATAATACATGTATGTTGGTTAGATGCAATTGAAATTAAAGATTATATGATTTAAGTTGATGCTCTGTTAGTTAAATTTGATACTTTATGTAAAGTAAGTATTCTGATGTATGTAGACGCTAGATGGATATTAAATGTTCATGAAGTTAGGCAACATATGTGTATAGAGTAAAAAGAGCCGCATCCCTGTACCCAAGCTCAAATCAAGAATATGACTAAGTGCAAGTCTTTTTATGTTTCCATGCATACACATAGCACCATTATGTTTCGTTCAGTTTGTAATGTATGTAATGCAATACACAATAATGTAAGACTGTAATGTAAGATCAACACTTGAAATACATTTGTATGTTTATGCACATGTACACTGTCTTTGTAATGTTTTATTGCTTCTACTCAGTTTACTACAACTTTATGAATGATTATTTGAACCAGAATTCTTGCATCTCACCACTGCAAACTGCAAACTAATTTATCCTTTATTCATCTGTACCATCTATAGACACATATATATTTTTCATGTGATGTACAGGGGGGGGGGGGGCAAAAAAACCAATACCCAAGGATGAATATCATATGATATAACATTAAACCATGCCATGTTTTGTACATGTATATCATTTTAAAGATAAATCATTTCCTAACAAAATGACACCATCTGCTTGAAAAACCGTTGTTTTTTTGTTGAGTGAGAGGCTAAAATTTACACCAGGGGTGTCATGTGACATATATCATATGAATGATTCATCTTTAAACTTGGGTATTGTTTTTTTGGCCCAACCTGTATAATAGTACTGTAAATGTCTAGAAGTTAGTGGCTCTCATAATTCTTTGGTACTGGCTTGGTATTCATGAACATAATTTATTAAAATCACGCCCATCAGAATGTGTTGTCCAATCAAATTGCAGAATATGATCACATGAACAATCATGAGCACATGTTTTCTCAGAGCCACGCATGGGCAAAGTAAAATTTGAAATCGAGGAAATGGTGTTTATTTCAGTTCATCATCTTCATTTCTTAACTACTGTACTCTAATACTATGCAAGTTACTTTATCCAAACTTGTAGAGAATAATCATAAAACAACAGCGAACATTCTGAGATCAATTTCAATAGCAAATGAGGCCTGTTTATAAAATGGTTATGGAATGTGCCAGTACCAACACCCATTTCTTTGAGAAATCTACTCCCCTTGGTAAATGTAATAATATCAGATTTTTTAAGTTGCCTCTTGTGAACAATAGTGCCTTTTTATTTAATTTATGGATGATTCAAACTGTAAACTGCATCCTTTTGACATCGTTCTTTTAATTTGGCAAATTTTCTGACTTTGTGGCTATTTAATTTGGCAAATTTTAGGCAGGATGTGAAGGTCTGATTTCACACTTCTTGGGTTTTGTCTTTCATGCGAACAGAATCTCATTAAAAACCAAATTGTAAACAAAAACTAGAAAAACAGTAATGTATTGTTTTAGTATATATTTTTTATTCTTTTTAATTAATTCACTATTAATTATACTTTGTAAGCATTACATAAAGAGTGTGTGCCATAAAACACTAAATCATTCAGATTTTTCATTAACAACACTGCAAAAATAACTAGTAAAGTGTGCTTTGATTGACAACTTTGACACAATTTCTAAAGTACATCTCTAAAAGCCATGCTCTTGTACATGTAAATCCTCACATAAATCTAGATTTCTCGGGGAAAACTACAAATCAGTAATTTTTATATTGATTACTAAAATTTACTACATGAGAGTAGATAATTTTAGTATCTAGGTCAAGAGGGCAATAACAATTTGGAAAATATGATTCAATTTACAATATCTTCCTCCATTCAACCCACAGAGGTATTTAATCTGACAGTTCATGGTCACACTTACTCATTAAGATTTTGATATCTGTAATTAGGATTCATTTTTCAAGAAACTCAAATATGAATATATAACTATCTTTTCTGCACTGCGAAGTCTTTAACCAATGCAATATTTGAAAATTCCCAAGTTGTATGAATAATCATACTTCAGCTAACTTTAACAATGTTTGAGAATAAAATAATAATATAAGATGATGTTACGTAAAGGAACACAAATATACACAGTGACCAATCATCACTCACTGGAGCTTACAATGAGTGAGACTACAGGTGTATTATTGTTCCCCACCATGGATGTGGTACATAGTAATTAACCAACTAAAACAATAGGGACCTGTAACTTAACTCCTATATACATTGTACAGTGTATAAACAGCAAAAAGATGAATCTTAATTCCAAAATTATGAATCTTAAAAGGGAGAATTTTTTATAGTTTGCAAAAAAATTGTCATACTAAACATAAACAGCTAAAAGAAATACTTTAAATTAATCAAGAAATGTGTCTTTCATGATTTTCCCTGAGATAATTTTTTACCATAAGGAGCACATCAATAAAAGTTGACCTAAAGTAACACCCATGTATACCTTAAAGTTATCATTTGGGTAATACTTCACACAATGACTTAACACCAATGTTTCTGGAAATTTTTCTAAATGCAAAAAGTACCAATTTGCTACCTTTATTTGAAAAAATAATGCATCATATTTAAGACTGGATTAATAAATTTGTTTATTGATGTACTCTCTTATTACAAATTTGAAAACATGGCAGCATTTCAAAAGATAAACCAGATAAAGTTTATTCCCTTATGGCTAGTCCTCCCTGTTATTTTTTCATTACCTAATTCTCATATTTACTTCTCGCAAATTTAAACCATCTTGGGAGGCATATTTTGCATGTTGGTTAACATTATAAAGGACTTAAATAGCACTACATTACATATAAACTCTACTAATTTAATTCAGTCACCTGCATTTTAACAATAACCAACCAACATTACCAAATTAAAATCATTCTAAAATCTAAAATGATGGTTCTAACTCATTAGGAAAACTAAAATCATATTGTGACCCTGATCTTGACATGATCATATAATGACAGCTCATTTTATTTAAAGTATTTTGTCATTTCCGATTTAGAATAGCTCCTATTGCGCATTCTCCAAATGCAAGACTACAGAGCACATCCACAATTTGTTTGATAATCTCATATCCCTGCGCTTGGAGAATGCTAATGCGCTCCTCCAAAAATG